CATACTAAATGCAACATTTCACACCATCATATTTCAACCCTCAAGGCTAAGGATGTGGTCTTGAGGTATAGTGGTGCTAGAAGTATCATACTAGGTAGCTCTATGAGCTTATAAAATATATCGGAGCATGGAAACATGTGTATATATATAAGGGTCGCTCGCTCGGAGCGGTTTTATCTGCGACCGACAGCCACTTCCGATGCAACTCGTAATGTATCAAGCTGAGTGAGCATTTTATCCATCTTGATAATGCAGAAAATCAAAACATAGGCCATTTGAGCCGACCCGTGAGCCACCTAAAACGCTTATCTGGTGGGAGGCAGAGGCGCGGTCCAATTGGGATTGGGTGGCCCAATGCAGGGGCCACGGGCTGTGTCGAAGTCTAAAGTAGAACTGTAAGAGTAAGAAATTAGTCCGACTCCAAGTTTGCCCGCTTGAGTCGCTCCGCCAGTATGTAAATGCACCCAGGAACCGCGGTCTACATTAAATTTCTTATTCGATTTATAGCTAATCTAAGACCATTTTATCTTAAAATTGAAATCCGGAGCGAAATAAAACGGCCTAAATTCATATTTCAGGATTCTAGTATACCTTATTAGCTTTTTCATGTTCACGCCAGTCACGGAAATCATCAACGGGAGGCAATTTTGAAGCTCGGTGATCGGGGAACCCCACAAGTATGCTCGCAAGTTTTAACCCCACCAACATGTGACGTGGCCCTAGCGTTTCGAATATCGAACTGCTGAGAAAAATGCATGATTTACACTAGTTTGCTTCCCCTCTAGTTTGCTTTTCAACTCTTCCCAGATTACGAAGTTCCACAGTCTCTGGGATTATCGATCTCAATAATGGATATAGAGGCATCGGTCATTTCCTCTCGTGGTCGTTTCCGCGCCTGCGAAAACTGTAAGAGGTCTGTAAGCTTAAGACTCTACTTTCGATGATTTCCCTGCCTTTTAACTACGAGCAATTTTTGCTGACCAGGTAAAATTCAATCTGACAGGCGGAAGAAACGATGTAGGTCTCTTTTCACTTCTTTTCGGCCTTTGTCCCTTAAGAATGCATCATACTGACCCGGGTCTATCCAGGCGATGCCGGGAAGCCACAGTGTCAGATGTGCATTCAATCACTGACCCCGTGCACCTACCCCAAGTTTACTTTCAAACCTGGTCCTAAAAAAGGAATGAAGCATGAAAGGAGCTGGGCTAACCATGATCATGGTACAGTCCGTATTAGTGAATTCCGATTAATCCTCGAGCTGACCTTTTGGCTAGTTCAACGGCAAGAGGCTGGCGGCCGGCATGGGGCTAGACAGACGAAGATGGGCAAAACATATATAGAGGAAATTCTGCCACTGGATGATGCCTTTGACTCTCTTTCTCCAGTGAATGGTTCTTACCAGAAAAAGCTCGCATCAACCGCCAACTGTTCCAACCTGGATTCAGATACTAGCGTGCAGAATGCCCAAGACGGCCGTCCACGTTATGTAATGGCGTCTCACATCACACCGCCAACAAACGCTACTCATCTTCCACCCAGCCATATTATCAGTCACCTTGTTGAAGTGTTCTTCACAGCTGTTCACCCTCAATTTCGATTACTTCATCGGCCGTCCTTCACTAGCCAGCTTGCTAACGGGCTTCTTCTATCTGACAAGTACGCACCTCTTTTTCTGAATGCCATGTTTGCTCTTTCGGCTAGGTATTCAGATAATCCTCGAGTCGAGTTGTACGACCTATCACTATTGCACGGCTTCGGATACACAGAGACCTTAAACAATCTAGACTGGAAGGGCAGGAAGCGTTATGAACGAGGAACTGGGTTTGCCCGGCGGGCCAGCGAACTCTTTCAAGCTGTAATGATGGAATCAGAAATCCTCGAAACGAAAATCGGAAAGGCGGAGAGGCTGCCCCTTTCGGTGCTGCAAGCAGGTACACTTCTGAGCTTTGCGGAACTTAGCGGGGGCCTGAGTAGCAAAGCCTATTCATTGATCTCAACTTGTGTTCGACTGGCATATGACTATGGCCTGAATACCATTGACTCTTCTGAATATCCAAGCGATTTTGAGCAGCGATTCTTTACATCTGCAGAGAACACCTGGGTAAGATTGGAGGAACTTCGTCGCACATGGTGGTGTATTTGGGACTTGGAGATTTTTCTATGCACTGCGAAGTGTCGCCCAAGAATGATTGATCTTACCAGATGCCAGACAAAACTGCCAGTTGATGATCACCATTGGTTCAGCGGACATGATATCTCATCATCCTTCCTCCCGGGCAGTCTACATCAATTGCGAGAATTGCTGGAAACTTCTCCTCGCATGTCTGTCCTCGCACAGCGAATTGTATCTTGCCATCTCATATCCCGCCTGGTCGAGATAGAAGATACCAAGACCGCCGAAGCAGACGGCGAGTCAGACGGCGTCATTGACAATTGCGTCTCAGCATGGGAAAGATGCTTTCCGAAAAGTTTATCGCAGGCCGTGACTCAGGAAAGTGGGGCCGAAAGCGATAGGTTTCCTATGTCTATATTTATTGAACAGTATGTACTGGATATTTTCACAAATCCAGGAGCTAACGGGCAAAAACAACGAAAAATAGAATATCTCTCTTATCAGCGAAGGCACAAATGTTCCGAAATGCCAGCCCTATAACAATCGCCAATTACTGCGAGTCCTTCGCGGAAAGGAGGTTACCAGCACCAATTCCAGATCCAACAGGATTCCTAGCTTTCGTCAAGGCACTTAATGCTGCCGACATTATTTGCGCGATTGTGCGGGACTTGCCTACTCAGATTATCGTTCGTTCCAATCCGTTTGTTGTTTGTGCATTCTGGGCACCGGCCTGCATACAACTTCTCATCAAATCTTTTGCCGGTCCGAATGTGGAACTTGTCAAAAAGGCGTCATATTCTCTGAGAATACTGACTTTGGCGATGGAACAGCTGGCTGAGTACTCGGCACTTGCTCAATTGATGCTTTGTACGGCCCACCCATAACTAATCTATTTCAATCATTGCAGCCCCAGTTCTATACCGCTGACAGGTAGATAAACAGCGTCATTTCGAAGATACGAAAACGATTTAATCAATTCTGAGTACATGCGCGATAATAGTCGGGATCATAGATTGATTTCGGTGCTTCGGGTAATTTCACCCCCCAGTTTCACTGATGGCAGATTTATGGCTGCCAAGCCAACATCGACGAACGAGAACCCCGGAATGGTGGGGGACGCTGGTTTAGCGGGAGGGTCGCAGGTTTCGACAACTGCGACCACCGCATCGAGTTGGGCTTCCGATTTACCAAGCTCTAAGTTCATCTCCGATCCCATCTTTCAGTGTCAAATCGATAATACAGGAAGGGAGGATGATTACAGTTGCATATTTCACCAGTTTCAATTCGGTGGATTCCCAGAGGAGAACTTTTAAGTACTGTAACTAAGTGGATGTTATTCTTTACATCCCTTTTCTGTTCCTCTACTTGGTTTTTGAAGGACGAAAGCAATGATAACCGGAGACATGATGCGGTACTGGTCCATGTGAACTCTGCGTCAAGTCTGGGGTAAATCAGGGGCCTAGCTGATTTCTATACTCCACAATGCTTAACATGTCAGTAGATTATGAGCACGCCAACCAACAATCGCTTTCCGAACCCGGGGGGCTTCTCTCCTTTCCCCAGGAATGGTATGAAAGGATGTGTGAAGGATTAGTGTATTAGTACACCTATATGCCTTCATTTAACAATTTGCCTTGGAATGTAATTGCAGGAAAGGTTAATGTCGGGACATATCCTCCGGTCAGAATAAGCAAAGACATGTTGTACGTAATCTTGCTAAGCTGCGGCTCCCGCCGTATGGATTCAGGGGCATTGGGCGAGGACCTGGAACACACATCTATCTACATCAATCAATTTACTTTCTGCTTTTGGAGCATACATGCTGTCCACTTAACTGTGTACACAGAACCTAGCTGGTGATACCAACAGTTAACAATACAGAAATCAGTGCTCCTATTTCTTTGCTACATCAAATGGATCGCGAAGATTAAGGTAGGGATGGCCGATCCGATATACTTAACTTTTAAGTAAAGGGGCATAGGGAAGGAATGTCAAAACGGATGGATTTGGGAGAAATTTGCTTCCATGGCATCTTACTCTGAGAGCTAATCGAATATCATGCAATACATTTTGACGTCTCATGTTTTTAAACACTCACGGCTGAAGCTATGCTAAGATAAATTACCGCCTGGATTTTTTTTTCCCGCTGCTTCGCGGCCTATTGCGGACTAATTCGATGAAATTTTCCGCCATAGGTACATAATATCACCTTGAAGTAAGTTATAAATACCGTGGGCACTTTATGGGGTCTGCATAAAGATGGTAGATAGAAGGGTGACCAATGGAAATCACAATGAGTCTGAATTACTATAAAGCCCCTATCTGGCAATTTATGTGGCATAAACATGACTAATCTTCGTGGAGATACAGTAACTATCGCCTTTCTCCGGGTATCCACCAATCCTGCTGCTCCGACAGAAGCGTGCTGCCGCGGGATATCCTCTGACCTTCTCTCCTTCTTTCCCTCCCCATGCTTAGTTGCTTCGTCGAATGCTACTACATTGGTCGATGCTGTCTCTTCGTACCGGAGCTGTAACAATACCAATATATTACCAAAAGATTCGCGGATTTTGCGACTTCCATCTCAATATGATATGGAAGAGACCAAAACACTTGTAAATAACAGTAATTTAAAAGATGAAACATCAGTTTTTATGCGTCCTAATGGGGTTAGTTATGCAAATTTTTGATCTTGGCGGGTGAGTGAGTCTTGAGGGTCATTCGTAAATGCAAGATGCTGTATCAGCGACCATAACATATTTTTGCTTCATTCTTAGGTTGCTACTGCTTTTTGGCATGTTAAATCATCTATACCAATATGGAGTTCATTTGATTATTATTTTATAGCGTTGCCGAAAATTACGCTACGTGCAGGGACCCAACAGATCTAGATTCGTGACTTGCCTAACTGTTTGTCCTGTAAATTGTACAGCTTGACCAGCTGTCTCACCGACAAGTCCAGGAGCACATCTTCCGAACCACCAGGAATTCGAGCACCGGGTACATCCCGAAGAATAGCTGGGATCCTCCATTAGCATTGGATTCGAGATTCAAATAGTGAGAGCGGAGGAAATACCTTCGACGAGTTCACCCTGTCCCTGCTTTGTGACACCAGCACCACCAAAGAGAAGCACAGCACATTGCGCACATTCATTCAGCACCATAGCTGACTTGGCCTTTGCCAGCGCCGTTATACCACCAAGCTGGTGATCAGACTCTTCCTTGGGCATATTACACAGCTGGTAGAGCAGCTGCTCGAGGAACGCCCACATTGTCTCTAGCTCCGCACCGGCCTTAGCCAAACGGTGACGGACGACCGGCTGGTCCATGAGCGTCTTGTCGAACGCCTCTCGCTTCAGGCAGTATGCGAAGGCAGTTGAGAGAGCCACACGCGCCTGGCGCGTGACGCCGACAGAGATGGTCAATCGCTCGTGGTTGAAGTTGTTCATCACCATTTTCATGCCCTCGCCTTCCCGCCCAATCAGGTTTCCGACCGGCACTTTTACGTCATCGAGTTCAATAAATGTTGTTCCTCCTGTAATTTGGCCAGAAACCTTCAAACGCTGCATTGTGACGCCAGGGTAGCCTTTAAGAGGAACCACGAGAAGCGACAGACCAGGGGCTCCGGGACCACCGGTGCGGACAGCCATGGTCGAAAGTTCCGACCAGATACCGTTGGTAATCCTACCTATATTAGAACTTGTACTGAAAACTACTAGGTTTATCAGGGCAGTTACCATTTCTTGTGTCCATTGACGATGTAGTATTTTCCACACTCAGACTTGGTCGCAGTGGTGGAAATATTAGCCACGTCGCTGCCGGCATCGGGCTCGGTGATTGCAATACAGCATCGTGCGCGACCTGTGAGGAGATCTGGGAGGTATTTCTCCTGTAGCTCGGGACTGCCATGCTTGATGATGGGGGGAATACCGAAGCCGAAACCAGCGTTAAGGGAGCCTCCGGGACCCATGAGACCGGAACGAGGGAGCTATATCATTAGCATCTCCTCCTTAAGAACTTTTCGACCTTGTCTTACCTCATCAGCATAAATTGCCGAGTAAAAATAATCCCACTCCTCAACTTTAACACCCAAAATGTCGTGGATCCCCAGGCGCTTCAACCACGCGACAGGCAATGGAGCTGGCAAATTTGGGAGTAGCATGTTGTGCTTGCAGAAATTCTTGAAGACATATTCCGGAACTGTACCTTCCTTCTCCCATTCCATCGCGTTCTTGAGCAAATGCTCGTACATAAACACACGACACGCCTTCTGGAAGAGGCGGTGGCCCTCAGTGTAGTAAGGTGACGGCAGACCGCGCAGATACGGCGGCTCCGCGAAAGGAACGGTGGAGATCTCGGCCATGACGGTGGAGGTGCGAAAGTTATGATCGTTACCTCCGCGGTTCAGCCAAGCTCGCGATGTCTACTGAATAAATAGAGATCTGAAGGGAGGTGTCAAGATATCAAGGCTAATCCCCTCATTTCAACCGAGGTACGGTTCGGCACGATTCAGCTCTACCTGAAGAAACGACTGGTGAGCCATACGTTTATCTCATTCTGTGAGTATGGGAATTACAATGGCGAATCCCTAAACAGCGTTTGCAGCAGGAGTCGAAAACAGTTTAGCCCTAAACACGCTCACGAATTACCGTATCCGTATTTCAACAGCGCTAAAGGGCTTTCGGTTAGTGAATATACTGGCTGATTTAACCATTTGGGTCTCAATGTCGGGACTAATGGACCCGCCAGGGATAAATACTTGAGCTGTGTTAAAATACGGTTTAGGATACAATTAGTGAGTTCACGAAAATCTGTTCTTGACTCCGATTGTGCCGTAACATGAGATGGCTTTTGTCTCCGAATACCATGCACTAACGTAATCCACGGTACAACGGGACACATGGTGAGACGGGTCACCCGAGCGGTCGGCCTAACTAACGCCTCAAGGCGAAATTCCTCCGTGCAATCAGTTAGGAGGACAGATATACTCCGCCGTCCATATCCAAATGATTGGATTGGCAGAGGACAGGGGTGCCGCAGAAGTTGAGAGTTCATGTTTTGTTCCATCCAGTCACCTGGCACTCGGATTCTCCAGCCTGAGAATCCTATTCCAACAACCCAGACGTGGAAACTAAATATGGATGTGGATCAGCCATAGATACCTACGGGAGGCTACGGAGCAGGGATTGCAGGAAACTGGCTCAGTAGTCTACCAACTTTCCCGTCCATGGTCATATACGTGTCATGACTGAAAGTAGAGCGTCTTCGTAAATAGACTAGGATTTTTCAGATCCGGTAGGTTTGTATTTGAAGTGCAAACTGCTCGTCTAATGTCCAACAACACGGGAAAGATATCATTTCTGGGAATTTGCAGGGAGCCACCGATCTCCTATCAAAAGCAGCATTTGGTAATGAGACGGGATTCCCGTGCTACCCCAGACACTACAGTTTATTTACTTCTTTACTCCACCCGCTCTATCCTTCAACACATTTATGACGGCTGGACGGGGCTTGATGCTACTAAACTGGAAGTGCAAATTCGGGAAATCCATTTCAAGGTCGACCTTGCCACCTGGCACAGCGCGAACCACGAAAGAAAAGCGACCTCATAGCTAAATCGGTCTCCAACCAGCCACTCGCATCGCTCCAAACTCCGTTCATCACATGAGATACCCGGTCTATCTCATTAACGTAGCGGTCAATCGCACTCTGGTCCTTTTCTGGGTGGTATATTTTGAACCATGCTGCCTGGCATAGAAGTCGTCAGGGGATCCTGTCGTGAAACAAAGTGGCTTTGGATCGGGGCGGGAAATGTCAGCGCGCCAGGTATTCTAACAGGGTTATCAGAGAATCTGGCTGTCGGACAAATTGGACAATCCACACTCAAAAATGACCGCGGACTAGCTTCTATTTGCGGTGCACTTATTCCTCCGTTCCTGACGCCTTGAAATTAACGTTCATTAGACCAACCTTGCATCCGGTTCCGGTGGAAACGTAGCTCGTCATAGTGGTCATATTGGAATAACATTGTTCGACGCCGCGTAACCTTAGAAGTTACCCCAGTCAGGTGGGGCAGCCCAAGCAAAAGTCCTGTAACAGAAATATAGGACGCCTGTACTTCATTTTATTATGCACTCTTCACAGTCCTCCGACCATCTCCTTCGAGTTACATTCTCAACTTCCTTCTTCACTGAGGCTGAGCCTATTACCTGAACACCATAATCTACCACTTTTTGGGCACGATAATATCGATTATAAAGCCAAGAATCATGAGTACAAAACAAACAACAGCTTCAGACCTTATGGTTGGCAAATTCGGTGACGGGCCTTTTCGTGGCCTTCACTTTCGGACTCCTTCGCAAAACGGCGTCACTGGCGGCGAAGGAGGGTTTGTCTACCGCCGAGGCGAAGTGGTGACCTTTTCTATTGGTAACCTGACTATTGGGTCCGCGGCTGGCGAGCCGTTCTTGACAGTAGCCTCCCTTCACGACCACGATGGCGGTAGTGGACCGACAGTGGACATCACTCGTTCCGACACGATTAATCGGGCGCGTTTCATTCAAAGCTTGGGACAGGAAGTGGATCTTCGCGGTGGTGTTTCAATCGACGATGACATCCGTGAAGTGGTTAATTCACATGCAGATGGCATTACTTTCGCATCCAGCGAGAAGTCTTTTGCACAGGCAGCCTCAGTCTCCGCAGTGTTCCGCCAGCTCGGTCGTCGCTTCCGTGGCGCGGCGGAGGCCCGTAATCATATGCGGCGGGCACAGGCGGGAATTCAGGCTCTTCGTGACGTCCCAATTCCCACGCGCGGCAGCAGCCATCTCATGGCAGACGTGTTCCGTCCTCTCGCCAAAGGCACGTATCCGGTGCTGCTGAGGCTGAGTATCTATGGCCGAGCGTTTCGGATCGGGTCGATATTCAGTGACTTGGACCGTGAGGAGAGTGAGGAGCGGGAAGCGGCGTGGTTTGAGAAGAGCCGGACGACATTTACTCTTATTTCCGCTACTCCGAATCGGCGGTCAGCGCCAATGCGAGCACTTGGGTCCCGCGCGGCTATGTTGTAGTGCGGGTAGATGGCCGAGGCATAGGACAGTCGCCAGGCAAACTCGATCCTTTCTCGAAACAAGAGGCTCTCGACTACTACGATGCCATCCAGTGGGCGGCCGCACAACCGTGGAGCAACGGCAACGTCGGTCTATATGGTGGCTCTTATAATGCAACCAATCAGTGGAACGTGGCGGCCCTGCAACCTCCAGCTCTTAGGGCTATTGCTCCTTTGTGCTCTGACGCGGATGGCTACCGCGATCTGGCATACCCCGGTGGTATCTTCCTCGAGAACTACCGACGATGGTGGTTCCAGGAAACCGTCGGACCGTGTCGAAACCCCTCAAGTGGAGAAGCCGTCGATTTTGTCGGTGGTCTTCACAACCATCCTTGGGACAACGAATATTACCATGGGGAAGGAGTTTTATCTGCTGATTTCTCTAAGATCAACATCCCAGTGATGACTTCTGTAAGTCAGACTGCATGGATCCATGGTCGTGCCGGTTTCGAGGCCTTTACACAACTTCGCTCGCCTTGGAAACATCTCCTTGTCTGGGACGCCTCTTACACTCCTTTTATGTATGAGGATAGCCACCCAGACATAGAAGCCTTCTTCGACCAGCACCTTAAGGGGCAGCAGCCAGCTCGAGAGCTAGCTCCAGTGCGCGTCGTCCATCGTACTGGAGATGGGAAGTTCCAGTGGCGAGATACAACCACTTGGCCGGTTCCCGGTACCAAATACCGCGAACTCTATCTTGATGCCGGCGACAATGAGAGCCCTGGCAGAATTGCATTTCAACGACCGGGAAACAAACGGGTTGCAGAATATTCCGCCAGTGTAGAAGATCCATTGAAGGTGAAGGACGTCCCCATGGCTGTGTTTGAGTCACTACCTCTGCAAGAAGATCTCGAACTGGTGGGTCACTTCCGAGCCAATCTCTGGGTGTCGTCTACATCGGCCGATAGCGATGTCTACGTTGCTCTCCGCGTGATGGAAGGGAAACGAGAAGTCCTGTATCGGACGCGTGAACCTGGGTCTGCCGCTCCTCTGACCTGGGGGTGCCTTAAGGTCTCCCATCGCGCGCTCGACCCGAAACGTAGCACCACCGAACGTCCGTGGCATACACACCGGCGCGAGGATGCTCTACCCTTGTCCCCGGATGACGTGGTACAGATCGAAATGGAGCTAATGCCAGCTACCGGAAGAATCCCAGCGGGGTGTCGATTGCGAATCGAGATCTCGCCAGTCGAGGGCCTGGGGGACCCTCTGGATTTGAGCGTGCTTATGACGAGTCTTATCATCGAGGCGCCGTTAACCGTATCTTTACTGGTGGAGAAAAAGCCAGCTCCATCATCATTCCTTTGGTGCCTGGACAACAAAGCTAGTTTTGCGCTATAGTAAATCATTTATTGCAAATGTTAAAGGATCGTCCCTATAACTCCTAGCAGCAGTAACGTAATTCACAAGCGGGTTGGCCACCCACCCCCATTACGAAATTTTGAAACAGGATATCTCAACCAAAACGCATTAATTGATACATAACTAGCAATTAATACAACGATTGATCTTATGCCCAATCTCTCCGCACCCGGTACACCCACCTCGGCGGAGCCCTTTTGGCTGGCCGATCTGGCCGATTAGGCAGATCGCCCCGCGCATGCGATGCCAACCCATCACCTTCAACTGGCTGATTTAGCTGCTGAGCTAGCTGTAGGCCCTCTTTGACCGATAGGCCGCCTTCACAGGGTATCTTCGTAGTTGACTGATTGCGTTTCTGGTGTTTTTTTCTCATTCGCTGCGCGTAGATTGGTGTTCTGCTGCCCGAGAAGCACTGCGTTATGCATCGTTCCCGCGCATCCTTTGATAATCTGATCTAGTATCCCTTTTGATGGGGTTGGCGGGCTGTTCGATTGCTGCTTTAGAAGACCTTTTAGCGATAAAGCTCATAAAGGCTTTTTAATAGTGTGCGAGACATCTGCCATTATCGTCAAGGATCTCTTCATGAAGCCACTATTCAAGATTTGATGATATGCATGTGCTCGGAGAAATTCACTCTGGAGGGACCGCAGTTAACGCGCCTGGAGAGGCCGAAGGAGAGCGATAGTCAAGAGGCACTGGAAGAGGATGAAGCGCCGAGAGCAAATGAAGAGGATGCTGCGCCGATCAGCGACGATGAAGAGGTCGAAGAGAGTGAAGGTGTCGAGAGCAATATCGAACCCGAGGCGTTATACGTGGCAGAAGGTATATTAGCAGAGACTGAGCATGTGAAGGACTGAAGCCAAATTGATTCAATACTGACTAGGCCAACATGCTGTTTACAAGAAGCCTGGAGAAGAGAAGGAGTGGAACAAGCGGAACAACAATAGAAGTAACGTGCAATGCGGTGCAAAACGGGAGCGTGCGGGGAAGAGGCTATATGACAGGGCCGAATAGTGAGAAGCGGGTCTAACCCGTTACAGAGCAGGCTTCAATGCACAACCAGACGTACGACGTGGAAGGAGACGAAGAGGAGATGGAGGAGGGAGAGGTAGATGAAGAAATGAAGATGATGAACCTGATTTGCTTCCACCTCCAATCACGCAAGATACGAGGTATATTAGTCTTCTTTATAATAAGCCAATCTCATTTTTCTTCGCCAATGATGTTTGTTCTGAACACTCTTTAAGCTGTAGATAAAGACACCTAGACATACCATTATATAATCGAAAATTACTGCACAATTTAATGTAAAATGATATGTCAACTTTTTTGCTTTTTTTGGGTCTTGGGTTGGGTTTGCCGGAAGACAACCCGCCTGCCAACGGGTCTGCTGACTAAGACCCAACCCAACCCACGGGTTGGGTTTTCGTGGGTGGGGCACCCAGCTCACGCGTACCCAAAAAAAGTTCAGACGGACCCAAAAAATTCTGACTAATTTTGGGTACCCATGAGGTACCCGACCTCACACGTACCCAAACCTGTAGATTATATAATATTTTTTAATACAGAAAATTTTTTTAAACACCTTGTTTTACCCCTTTTCAAGATTATTACCAACCATCGAATTCCACAAGATGTCGGCGTCTTTACTCTCGCCATCGCTATTCGAGGATTCCGATTCTGACGTATTTATCTCTACGTAATCTACTACTAGTACTATATTAGAGATTAATCAAATTCTTTATAATCTTCCATCTGTGAGTGATCGTTTTATAAATAAGAGCATACATAAATCTTATATTTTATACTAGCGACAAAGATCGGCCTCTGAAACTTCAGTGTACCAAGATTGCACTAATACATATAAGTCATCTGATGTTGATTCTTGTGAGGATAATAACGAAAAAATCAGCTCCCTAGGTTCTACACCTTTTACGTAACGAAGCCAAACAGGCATAGAGACAGACGGGACCCAAGTAAGCGTTAGCTCTAGAGATACTATAATCGCCTACGAAATTCAGGAGCACCTTATCCTCCCAGAGTATCCTAATACAGACAAGAATAGTATTTTACATATTATTCATGCCTCCAAAAATCCACTTGAAAATTCGGAAGATACCGTTACTACTATTAACCAAGCTACACACAACTTATATCTTCGGTATGTTCGATATAATCCTAGTATATATCTAGCATATGTCTAGTATATGTCTAGTATATACTTAGTATATATAATAACTAATTATCCTAGGTTTAATTCTCGATTAAACAACTTAAAGCGGCCAAGAAAATCTTCACGAAACTCCTCTAGAAAGACTCTAAAGATAAAGAATCAAGATTATAGCATCGATCCTTTCAATATACAGGGATTCAACATTGCCACTAAGCTTATCCTGATATTATTACCCCGTCTAAAAGCTATAACCGTGTTAAACTAACACTTTTCCGCGAACTTCAGGCTCTTGCTACAAAGCCTATATATCACACTATTACGCAGGAAATCTAGGAGCGAACTAGAGAGTATGTGAGATATTCGGTGTGAGATATAGGGCAAGATGCCTAAACCGCCATACAGGATTCATAAGGCCTATACAAGATGGCTGAATCTCTCTAAGCTTTATGCTATACCATCATCACTGCGGTCAATGACATCAAGTAAGACGTATACAACAGTATACGATCTACATCATCACTACAGTCAATAACACGATCTATATCATCACTACGGTCAATGACATCGTACAATCAAGCAACCACCGATCAAACAGCTACTGTATGAGATCACTATGCATCTAGATCTGTCTATATGAGATCATTATGCATCATCTAGAACGATCACATACAAGAGACAAGTTGATTATAAATATACCCTGCTTTCTCTACCAAGATAATAATGATATTTAAGATATATAAGCAAGATTCAATACAATCAACCAAGCTTCAGTCCTACCTTACTTTTCTCTTACTCTTACGATTCTAAGCCGAATTGATTTTATCCTTCCTATTCAATCAAAGGAAGAAGATCAATTAATCTTCCTTCCTCTCTACCTAACCTACGCAGCATCGCTTGCTCACAGGTTATAAGCCCGAATTGATCCTACTTTAATTCGGCTTATACTACTTCTTCAATCTTCTATCTTCAACAAAGAATCCCTTACTTTTAAGAGAAACTTCTCTCTCTTAAAAAGAAACAAAAAGCTCCTCCGACTTCTTATTTTCAAAAATTTATACTCGATTTTTACCGGTCGCGTCCACTGTTCTATACGAAACACTAAGAAATCTCGACTTTCTTGACAAAAACAATCATTTTTTAAATATTCAATCAAGTTTCTTGAACTCAAGATAATCAACAAACATAATATCGATCCTCTTAAAGGAGAAGGAAATTATGTTGCCTGGTTAATCCGAATCAAGGCGATTCTTAATCAAGAGAGACTAATTAATATAATCTAACACGATTATATAAAGCTTCCTGCTATTTAGCAAGGCTAGATTCCTAATCAACACTAGTCTTATGAAAAAGCAATTGCTCTGCTACCTGATTAACGATTACCTGATTATAGAAATACTACGATTTAGTTAGGAAGAAGATCTAGTAGACCTACAAGATCTACTAGCCCTACTAAGATAGGCTAGAATAAGCTAGTTATCCTATCTAATAAATTTAAAACTATTAATTAGATTAATCGAGATACTCTATTATTAATCAAGCTATTATATAAAGATAGCCTACTCCTTTAGCTAGGAGATACTATATCGGCCTACTAAGTATAGGTTACTTTAGCTACCTAATATCGGCCGAAAGGATTTACTACCGAATTCCTTGTATTAAAGAGCCTATTTAATAGCTAATTAGGCGATTTCGATAGTATATATAACTATCTTACTAAGATAAGGCGCCTGCTAATCGAATTAGCAAGCCTAGGAATCGATTTCCCTAAACAAATCGTATTCGTATAGGTTCTTAATAATCTTGACTAATCGTACGCACCGATTATTCAAAATATCATTTAATCTCTTCGTAGAGATTCTAATTCCTATTCGATTGAATCGCTATTCGCTAATCTAATTAACGAATCGCGCGGTTATATTCAATTAACCGAATAAATCTTTATGGCTAATAGCTATTAAACTAAGTCTATAAATCTGACTAATCGCCGAAAAAATCGATAGGTAAGAAATTGTGAGATATTATATTCGGTGTGAGATTAGGGCAAGATGCCTAAACCGTCATGCAGCATATCAAGCCAGATTCATAAGGCCTATACAAGATGGCTGAATCTCTATAAGCTTTATGCTATACTATCATCACTGCGGTCAATGACATCAAGTAAGACGTATACAACAGTATACGATCTACATCATCACTACGGTCAATGACACGATCTACATCATCACTACAGTCAATGACATCGTACAATCAAGCAACCACCGATCAAACAGCTACTACATGAGATCACTATGCATCTAGATCTATCTGCATGAGATCATTATGCATCATCTAGAACGATCACATGCAAGAGACAAGTTGATTATAAATATGGCCTGCTTTCTCTACCAAGATAACAATAATGTTCAATTACAACATACAAGTAAGATTCAATACAATCAACCAAGCTTCAGTCCTACCTTACTTTGTCTCATTTCATCTTTATGATTCTAAGCCGAATTGATTTTATCCTTCCTATTCAATCAAGAGGAAGAAGATTAATTAATCTTACTTCCTCTCTACCTAACCTGCGCAGCATCGCTTGCTCACAGGTTATGAGCCCGAATTGATCCTACTTCAATTCGGCTTATACCACTTCTTTAATCTTCTATCTTCAACGAAGAATCCTTTACTTTTAAGAGAAACTTCTCTCTCTTAAAGAGAAACAAAAAACCTCCTCCGACTTCTTATTTTCAAAAATTTATACTCGATTTTTACCGGTCGCGTCTACTTCTCTATACGAAACACTAAGAAATCTCGACTTTCTTGA